TGATGAGAGAGGCACTACAGCGTATTATTACACCATTATTGTCGTACAGACTACTTCAGGTAGTTTCGACTTATGTGCAGAGTAGTGCCGTACAGGTCACCGTGGTGACTCTGGTTGGTTTGGATATTGAGCTATGGAATTAACCGTACCGGACCAACTGCAGGGTCTCCGGTGGATTCATTATGTCACATGTTATATTGATGCATTCTTAATCTGTTATTGACATTTATGGCATGGCATATTTTCTGGGTTTTGATAAAGAATTGTGATTTGAGATATACGAAGATTATATGCATATTATGTTATTTTCTGGGAAAGTATACATGTTTTACAGCGAGGGATTAGAAATGTTTTAAATGAAATGTTTTTGAGAACTTTGGTTTTACTGACCCACTCAATTTTGTTTTGCTCCACTCCAGGTTCTAGTTAGCAGCGTTGGTGGCCCACGAGGATTCCTACGGCGTACTGACAGACTACATAAATGTAGGACTCACCTGCGAGTGTTGTAATTTAGTTTTGGTCCTACTTGACTGCACCTAGTACTTGTGCTCTAAATTTGTGTGTTTCACACTTAAACTTACTCTAGCACGTTACTTGGTTATTATTGCTAGTATTTGGTTTTTGTTATTCGTATTTCTCTTATCTTTTGCTTCCGCCTCGCACTTTTGGTTACGTCATGCCCACGTGACGGCCAGCACGCCTTGATTCTAGGATCGGGGTGTGTCATTGGTTAGATTCAATTTATTTTTCACAATAATGCTACAATTTAGCAATAATTATCTACGATTTAAGATATTTTCTTTCCAAAATAATTTAAAATATTTTAAATCCCCCAAAATCAAACGAACCGAAATAAGTTTTTCTTTTAGTATGTTAAGAGAAAATAGGATTTAGAATAATATAAACGTACCAATACACAATGTGTACAAATATTAACAATATGTATCAAATCAAACGTACCAAAATTGTAAATAAACGTACCAATTAATAATTTTTATAAATTCAAACGTACCCACAAATAATATATACGTAATGTATTGTACCCAATAATAATTTGTCAACAACTATACTTAAAAAAACAGCAAAAAAAATTACACGGAGCTTTTATGTTGATCACCAACTATTTGAAAAAGAAAAAACCATTTCGAAAAAAGAAATAATATTAAATGTTTGCAGAACCAAAAAAAAAAAAAAAAAAAAAAAAAAAACTATGATCGAAAAAACATATTTGAAAGAAGAGAAAATATAGTTTAAGGGGTGTGCTATTCACACACCTCATTTTACTTCTCACACACCCCTTAATAATTTATGTCCGTTGATCTTCTTCAATTCATCCGATCCGACGGTCGAAAATTAAAAAGGTGTGTGAGAAGTAAAATGGGATGTGTGGATATCACATACCTAGTTTAATTACTAATATCTTCACTAAATAAGGAAAAGTGCATCATGTAGATAAAATGATGAATTCAAAAATTATTTTAATTTTAAAAAATAAAGGTGAATATTAGTCAAAGCATTTTAATCAAATTTTAAAAAGACATAGATGTTTAATCTAAATGATATAGAAAAACTATAGAAGATTCTAAGAACCTGTTTGGTACTCTAATTGAATCCAACTTTTTAAACTCAAAAATAATTTTCAAGCTTTAGGCCTTAAAAACTTGTTTGGTAGGACTATTTTAAAAAACTGAACTCAAGACTAACTAAAAAATATAATATATTCTTTAAAAACATAAAAAGTAAGTTTTTAGATTTTTTAAACTTAAATTCACTCATTTCTTTTCTCTCCCTCCTCCCTTCTCACTCCAAATCTCTCTCTCTCTCTCTCTCTCTCTCTCTTTTCTTCTTTCTCTCTCCCCCTTGTCTTTGTTTTTTACATTTTTCGTCTTTCTTCCAATCCGCTCTCTTCATTCTCTCAGTTCTATCTCTCACTCCCCTTCCTCTCTATCTCCTCTGATCTTCTGTCTTCTTTCTCTTTCCTCCAATCATGTCTTACTTTCTTTCCTCCTCTTTCCTCTTTCTCCCTCTCCTGCGACCCTCTCGTTTTAGATCTCTTTGTCTAGTTTAAGTTGTAAGATTTAAAAATTTTAAATCGCAAACCAATCAAGTTTTTGAGTCTTAAAGAAAATTATTTTCAAGAAATGTTCTTAACAAATGTTTTGTACAATGATAAAAATTTTCAAATAGGAGACCAAACAAACCCTAATTTTTCCTTTTCAAAAATAGACTATTCTTAATAATAGCTCACAAAATTAAATTTGTCCCCAAATTTGATATGGCATTCATGTCTCAGACAATGACAGGTAATGTGTGATTTCAAAATTCACATACTACGTGTTTTTGTGGTTGTTGGAATTTTAAAAGTATACTGAAAATGATTGAAGCACCATTCCAACTGTCACTACAAAGTGAAGGCGATCAACAGAAGAAATCTAAATTTTCTTTTTAGTCAATCACGTGTTTTTGTGGTCGTTGGAATTTTAAAAGTATACTGAAAATGATTGAAGCACCATTCCGACTGTCACTACAAAGTGAGGGCGATCAACAGAAGAAATCTAAATTTTTCTTTTTAGCCAACTAACCTTACAGTGACTTTTCTACCATTGTCTTTCTACTTTCTCAACCAATAAATAACAAGGCGTCATGGCATGCAACATGAATTTTTTTTAATGAAATGGTCGCAGAGCGGCCTTATATTTTTTATGTCTAAGAAAAATTGGGCCGGCCGAGCTGACTATATGCCGAATTTGTAAGGCCATGACTCAACCCACTAGTCGCAAAAAATTCGGGCCAATGAGTGAGTTGCTCTGCTCGGTTCAAATTTTAGCTCTTTAATTATTTTCATTTAAATGTAAAAATAGTCAAGTTGTTGATAATTAAATATAAGACTTTTTGTACTTAAAAAAAATATAAGACTTTTTAATTTTATTAGTTCTCATTTACCATTCCAAATAAGATATTTGTTTGGTTAATATAGTCATTAAATAAGTATTGAAAAACAAATATTTCAGATCACGAACTTTTTATCCCATCAAAACAACAAAACTTAAAAAACAAAAGGCGTGTACAAATAACACCAAATAAGCTTTTGGTCTTTGGAGTAATAATTTAATGGGGTCTAATAGTGTATTGGATGCGTTCATTTGCCAAAATGAGAAACAATTTCAGGTAAAGAACTTTTCACCTCATAATTACAACACTCCAAAAACAAAAAACATGTACAAATGACACAAAATAAAACTTTGGCTTTTTGAGTACTCATTTTTTATGGGTCTAATGCGTATTGGATGTTTTCAGTTGCCAAACACTCAAAAAACAAAACACGTGTACAACTGACTCCAAATAAGCTTTTGGCCATTTGATTACTCATTTTAAGGGTCTAATAGCATATTGGATTGTTCATTTTCCAAAATGAGAAACAATTTCGAATCCCATACTTTTGAAACAATCAATCCAACATCACTTCAAAAACTAAAAAACGTCTACAAATGACACCAAAATAAGCTTCTAGCCTTATGTGTACTTAAATTACACCAAATCATATCGGGTCGAGCCTAAGAATAGAACCTAAAATGCAAGGCCTAAGCCCTACCCCATTTATAATCAGGCAGGCTAAAGCACGACCCTAAGACTGGGTTGAAAAATTAGGGCTGGGCTAGCCTATCAAGCCTCATTCCTTTTTATTAGTCTATCTGATACAGTCTTGGGTGTATTCAATTATGATTTTGAAGGATTTTAAAACAGTTTACAAATTCAGACAATTTTAAATGAATTCATGAAAGTTTAGGGGGTATGCAATCAAGATTTTTAAAAGAGTATATAAACTCAAGGTATATTCAATCAAAAATTAAATTTAAAGGATTTTAAAAATTAAACTATTTTGATAGAATTAGAGGAATTAAAAAAGATTTTAGGCTTTAGTAAATCATGCATGTCTCCTAAAATTTTTAATGAATTTATCTCAGGTTCACATAGAGTCTATTAAACTCTGTTAAACTTAAAGAATTTGTAACTCTTTTTAAATCCTTCAAATTCTAAATTGAATACACTCAAGTTAGTAAGATTAATACCACTTGCTTTTGGAAAAAAAAAAAAAAAAAAAAAAAAAACTACTTGCCAAGCAAAAATCTAGTCATCAACTGTCGCATCATGTAGCTTTCAAATATGGTCTAAAAAATGATCTCCCTACCATTTTTCTTTACAAAATGCTCTTAATTATTTAACAGAGTAAAGCTTAATGTGGATTGGTGTCACAAGGGAATGGTTAATACCATTGGTGCTAGTCGTTGTTGAATATTTTAAGAATATATATATATATATATATATATATATATATATATATATATATATATATATATATATATATATATATATACAGCTGTTTGACTGACAGGGAATGGGATTGGGTTATTGATCCAAAAAACACATCTCTTCAATTTGAACATGCATCTTTTGATTGTTGCCAAAAAGACATGTTTCATGATCCTTCAGGTAAGAGGTGTTTTGTATCAGATATGTCCATTGGACATACTGCTGCAATGTGTTGTATCCTATGGTGAAAAGATAAACTCAAATCAAAGGATGTGTCTAACGGATGTAATTCTCTCTATATATGTTGGCACTAGTAGAAAAAAACACTTTGCGCGACGTACGTACATTCGTCAAGCAAAGTCAAAAATCGTTGCCTAAGGGTTTGCGCGATGCAACCTTCGTCGTGCGCTAACCGTCGTGCCAAGGCAGTGATGGTAGGATTTGTGTGACAAAGAAATAACATGCGTCGCGCAAAGTGGCTTTGCGTGACGCACGGCCTACATCGTGCAAAGATACTTTGCGTGACGCACTTCCTACGTCGTGCAAAGCCACTTTGCGTGACGCGCGTCCTACGTCGTGCAAAGCCACTTTGCGCGACGTGCGTGCGTCGCGCAAAGTGACTTAATGGCAAAAATATTTTTTATTTACTTTTTAATAAATATTGTAATTAAATTCTAAACAATAATTAATAAACCAAGAAAAAATATTTAATTATAAAATATATGAAAATGTACATACAAGATGTCCGAACAAAAATAGGAAAAACTACAATAACTATCTTCTAGGTTTGATACATCAAGCTACTGGGTATCGGCTAGGCAAAGTGGCTGGGAGGTCAAAGATGGAGCAAGATCAAGTGCTAGCATCAGGATTTTGCTTGACAGTCTTCATAGTTAGCGTGCTCAGCTCCAAGGCATCAAGTAACTGCAAGAAATTGTGAAGATCAAATATCCTACACAACAGTGCTTATTATATGAAAAGAAAGATAACTACCTTTTCCATCAGTGCTCCACCAATCAACATTATGCAAAATTTTCAAATAATCCTTTATAGATGGTGAAAAGAATTCCGCTGCACTCTTCAATTATTCATTCATAGTTGCGGATGGTAAACGTCTAAAAGAAAATTTTGCTACAACAGCATGTAATCCTCTATAGTTTGGTTTCCAAAAATAATATTGCAGAATCTGATACCTATTTCTGCTTTCAAAAACAACCTGGGAGGTGTTCGTGCAAATAATCCTACTACAATGTTATATTTTTAAGAAAATTACCTATGAAAGTCTGTTGCCCAATAGCACAATAGAAGACACCTCACTAGCAGCTCCAACACCACCACCCATGGCAATTCCAACATGCGATGAAGCCAATGCTGCAGCATCCATCACCAACCATTGCTACGACGTTCTGATCCTTCTGAAGTTCCATTATGAAATTCTTCTTTTCCGTCGGTTTAACACCAGATATCACCTGCAACCCACATCATAGGCTATACAATTAAATTCGATAGAGAAAAGAAAAAATGGGATCCAGTTTGATACCGGGCAACTATTTGGGCATCAGTTTCAAATGAGTTTAGGGATTGAGTATTCTCACTCTTCTATAATGACGAATGTGTTAGCAGCTGTGATTAAGTTTAGGTTTCAAGTCTTGAGGTTTTTGTATTATAGGCTAGGTATACAGATTGTGGATACCTTATCCAAAAGTTGTATTGTTTATGATATTATTAAAAATCTTTTTCATTTCAAAAAATAAATTAAAATAAAGGATAGAGGACAAGCTTTTGGTGTTCTGCTTGAAGTTGTTTCACGATTTTTTACATTTTTCCAAATTGATAAAATTTTTGTTTCCCATCAAAGAAAGAAGTAATTAAGAACTCCTTGCCTTCTCTATCGGAATACCAACAGCAGACGCGATGTACTCCGCGTTATTGTTTTGTACCCAGATAGCATGTATACATCGATCCTTGCTTAGATAAAGATTTAACAACTTGTCCAGCATCTACCCTTATCTGATCCTCAAAATAAATGAGACCGGCAAGAGTACTATCAATGCCAACATATACAATAGATTGACTCGTATGGGCTTCTACTTCTTCAAATGGGTAACTCCATGCCTGCATATATTTAGTTTTTCAATGGGACCTCAATACATGATCCAAGATTAAATTATTTGCCATATTAAGAAGGAAAAAAAAACAAAAGATATCTTATTTGGAAGATGAAAACAACTAAGCCTTTGGTTCCCAAAATTAATTTCCATGGTAAGCAAAATAGTCAATCCATCTTCTGGGGTCATTTAAGAGTTCGGCAAACAATCAAGAGTAACATTTAGAATTGGTCCATGAACCAAAAATCTGTTAATTGAGATCCCTAAATTTAACAAAACATGCGCCCTTGGTTGCCTTCAATATACCTTCAATTCCCTAACACCAAATGAGCCCTAAAAGTTTTCTAAGATTCTACATATCTTTAATGAATCTCTAGGATTTTCTTTTAAAGTCGTTTTGATGCCAAAAACCTTTAGAAAATAAGGCACACTTTTGTAAGCCAAAGTCAAATTGGAGAAAGAAATAAGCATCTGTTGAAGTACCCCTATATCTTCTTAGTCTCTCTAAGCTGCTTCTGTTTTCTACAAATTGTGCTACTTATAGAACTTCATTTGAGTGCTCCTGTAAGTTGAATCTGTCAAGCATTACTTCTCCATGTACATTGTTATTTATATCCTAAGGAGTTATCATGATCATAGACAGCACTCTATGTTGTCCTATATGAATCTAAATTTTCAATAATAGGATTATAAATTCTCTTAACAATGGTCCAGGGCCAATGCCTATCAGCATTACACCTTTACAAGAAGCAAATTCACATTCAAATATGCAATGATACAAACTATTAGATTCCATTATACCCTGTAATTACCTTTGAACCCATTCCAAAGTCCCAACAGAAACCTTTTTGTTCTCAATAGTTGCTACAGCACCAGAACCAGGTTCTTCCAAGAATATTCCATCCGTAACCTGGAATAAAGTGCACAGTTTAGGATCTGAGCATCATGATTTTTTCGGAACCTTATCCAGCTGATGCATGCACTTAATGATATAATCCTCTTCTAGAACACCAAGGATTTGTTCACAGAACTGCAGTCTTTCTTTTTCTTTGTAAGAGATGAAGCTCACATAGGGGAGAAATTAAAAGCAGAACTCCAGCACCACTCTATACAAAAATCCAGCCCAGTTAAGACGAAGGCACACTAAAGGGACATCCTCAAAGTGCTTAGACCAAAGATTCCCAAACAGATACAATATCTAGTTGTCCCAAATAAAATCCATTAGCTAGAGAAAATATAACCTGTGAATAGAGACAACCACAAGAAACACCTCACTCGGCATAACTTGCATACCGATCCATCCAAAGATTCATTGATCAAGCGATCGATAATTCCCTCTCTTTGAGATTTCAAGTGATGCACAAACTAAAGATTCATTGAACAATCACATCTGCTATTACCTTAAATCTTTCATCTTTTCAAACTTGCACAATTGAAAGAAATTTCATATTTCTGTGCCCTGTGTGTGTAAGACAGAGAAAGAGAGAGAGAGAGAGTACCGTGAGATGAAGTCGAAGTTGGGAGAGTAGCGAAGGGTTTCTGCACATTAACCGGAGAGATGGCGAAAGAGAGTTGCAGATCGGCGAAAGAGATGGCGAATATGTGTGATTTAGGTTTCGATTTTGTAAGAACAATGATTATAAAGGGTAACACGCTACCAAAACCCACAGGTAAGAAACTCACAGATTGAGCTATCAAAAACAAAACAAAACCGACCCACATGAAAAAAATTAAATCTAATGGTAATTATCTCATTCAACCCACATCAATCCGAGTCCCATAAAACCCTAATTTCATAACCATAACAGCGAAACCAGCACGAAACGACTGATATCAAATCAAAACGACAGCAACCATATCCAGAAACAAAACAAAAAATCTAATCAGCAATTACCATCAATCTAATTAGACCGTATACTTACATGAACAAAATCGAGCGGCGGTCGGAGAAACAAATGGGCGATTGGGCGGGAAAGCCTTGTGTGAGCTGAGCTGAGGAGGAGAGTCGGCTGGAGTGGAAGAGATTAGGGTTTGGGTTGGGAAGAGAGAGAGGATGAGGATTGAAAGAAGATGAGGAGGAAGGCTACGGGAGAAGAGAGACCGAGTGAGAGAGAGGGCCAGATGAGCGAGAGACAGTTCGGGTCTCGGAAATATTTGTCCGGGAAAATTAAAAAAAAACAACTTTAACGAAAAGCTCCCGGTACTGTTCACTCTAACGAAAAACTACATTTTTACACTAAAAAATCAATCCTGATACTATTCACTTTACCCTTTATTTTGTCCTTGTTATTAAAACTCAAAGTTTTCAAACCTTTTTCATTAGTTTTCCTTTTAAAAAAAAAAGCGCTTAATTTTTACATTTGCACCGCCAGAATTATCACTGGCGCGACGCAAGTATACATCTCAACGTCACGCAAAGTATTTTTGCGTGATGATCACATTGTGGCGTCACGCAAGGTATTTTTTTTTTTAAATATTACAAAATTTATTGAAAATGTGACTTTACTCCCTTCAAAAGTGGTTTGAACGATCCAACCGTCAAACTTGTATGTATATATTTTGAGATCGCATACGCCAAAAATCCCAAAAAATAAACATTCAGAGATCAAGTAACGAGACAAAACTTTTCAACGGTTATAAACGAAAAAATTACGATTTAACGGTTATTTTAACTCCGATTTTGATAATTTTTTACAGCTACACTCCTTGACCCTATATGAATACAACGAACTGATTCGATCGTCAATTTAAAATATTTACACAAGTGGTTACCACAAAATCTTATGTTATACTTGATGAAAGTATAAATAAATTCCAAGTGTTAGGGAATTTATCGTTTTGATGGGATACGCATTGTACAAAACTAATTTCAATGATCCAACCATCAAACTTGTTTGTATATACTTCGATATTGCATACGCCAAAAATCACAAAAAACAAACATTCAGAGCTCAAGTAACGGGATAAAACTTTTCGACGGTTATAAACGAAAAATCACGATTTAACGGTAGTTTTAACTTCAATTTTTTAACTTCAATTTTGATGATTTTTTACAGCTACACTCTTTAACCCTATATGAATACAACGAACTGATTCGATCGTCAATTTAAAATATTTACACAAGTGGATACCACAAAATCGTATGCTATACTTGATGAAAGTATTAATAAATTCCAAGTGTTAGTGAATCTATCGTTTTGATGGGAAACGCATTGTACGAAACTAGTTCGAACGATCCAACCGTCAAACTTGTTTTTATTTGCTTCAAGATCGCAAACGCCAAAAATCGCAAAAAACAAACATTCAGAGATTATGTAACAGGACAAACCTTTTTTACGGCTATAAACGAAAAAACATGATTTAACGGTTATTTTAACTCTGATTTTGATAATTTTTTACAGCTACACTATTTAACCTTATATGAATACAATGAACTAACTCGATCGTTAATTTAAAACATTTACACAAGTGGATACAACAAAATCTTATGTTATATTTAATGAAAGTATAAATAAACTCCAAGTGTTAGTGAATCTATTGTTTTGATGGGATACGCATTGTACGAAACTAGTTTCAACGATCCAACTGTCAAACTTGTTTGTATATGCTTCGAGATCGCATACCAAAAATCGCAAAAAAAAAACATTCAAATATCAAGTTACAGGACAAACCTTTTCGACGGCTATAAATGAAAAATCATGATTTAACGGTTATTTTAACTCTGATTTTGATTTTTTTTTACAGCTACACTCTTTAACCCTATATGAATACAATGAACTAATTCGATCGTCAATTTCAAACATTTGCACAAGTGGATACCACAAAAGAAAAAGGCAATGCAAGAACCCCAAAAGAAAAGGAAAAGGGCAAAAAAAAAAAAAAAAAAAAAGGAACTTTGCGCGACGTAGGTACAACTGCGTTGCGCAAACCATCTTTGCGCGATGTAGTTGTACCTACGTTGCGCAAAGTCCTTTTTTTTTTTTTTTTTTTGCCCTTTTGCTTATTGGTACAAAATAAATAAATTAAAATCTACTTAGTAAATACATATACAATTGAACTTGATGGGAAACGCATTGTACAAAATTAGTTTCAATGATCCAACCGTCAAATTTGTTTGTATATATTTTGCGATCGCGTACGCCAAAAATCGCAAAAAAAAAAACATTCAGAGATTAAGTAACGGGACAAACCTTTTCGACGGTTATAAATGAAAAATCATGATTTAACGGTTATTTTAACTTCGATTTTGATGATTTTTTACAGCTACACTCCTTGATCCTATATGAATACAACAAACAAATTCGATTGTCAATTTGAAATATTTACACAAGTGGATACCACAAAATCTTATGTTATACTTAATGAAAGTATAAATAAACTCTAAATGTTAGTGAACTTATCGTTTTGATGGGAAATGCATTGTACGAAACTAGTTTGAACAATCCAACCGTCAAACTTGTTTGTATATGCTTCGAGATCGCATATGCCAAAAATCGCAAAAAACAAACATTCAGATATCAAGTAACGAGACAAACATTTTCGACGACTATAAAAGAAAAATCATGATTTAACGGTTATTTTAACTCTGATTTTGATGATTTTTTATAGTTACACTTTTTAAACCTATATGAATACAATGAACTAATTCGATCGTCAATTTAAAACATTTACACAAGTGCATACCACAAAAGAAAAAGGCAATGCAAGAACCCCAAAAAAGCAGGTGTTGCGTCGCACAAAACAGCTTTGCACGACATAGATACACAGCTTTGCGTGATGCAACACCTACGTCGCGCAAACGTTTTTTTTTTTTTTTTTTGCCCTTTATGAGTACAAAATCTACTTAGTAAATATATATACCGTTGAACTTGATAGGAAACACATTGTACGAAATTAGTTTCAACGATCCAACCGTCAAACTTGTTTTTATATACTTCGAGATCGCATACACCAAAAATCGTAAAAAGAAAATATTCATATCAAGTACCAGGACAAAACTTTTCAACGGTTATAAACGAAAAATCACGATTTAATGGTTATTTTAACTCCGATTTTGATGATTTTTCACAGCTACACTCCTTGACCCTATATAAATACAACGAATAGATTCGATCGTCAATTTAAAATATTTACACAAGTGGATACCACAAAATCTTATGTTATATTTAATGAAAGTATGAATAAACTCTAAGTGTTAGTGAACCTATCGTTTTGATGGGAAACGCATTGTACGGAACTAGTTTGAACGATCCAACCGTCAAACTTGTTTGCATCTGCTTCGAGATCGCAAACGTCAAAAATCGCAAAAAACAAACATTTAGAGATTATGTAACGGGACAAACCTTTTTTACTGCTATAAACGAAAAATCATGATTTAATGGTTATTTTAACTCTGATTTTGATGATTTTTTTACAGCTACACTCTTTAAACCTATATGAATACAATGAACTAATTCGATCGTCAATTTAAAACATTTACACAAGTAGATACCACAAAAGAAAAAGGCAATGCAAGAACCCCAAAAGAAAAGCAAAAGGAAAAAAAAAACCTTTGCACGACGTAGGTGTTGCGTCGTGCAAAATAGCTTTGCACGACGTAGTTGCACCTACGTTGCGCAAAGCTGTTTAGCGTGACGCCATCCTTCGTCGCGCAAAGGTCGTTTGCGTGATGTTTTGTGTTTTGAGTCGCACAAACATACTTTGCACAACAAAATTTGCTCCGTCGCGCAAACATGTTTTTCTACTAGTGTGGTGACATTAGTAGAAAATGAATCTTTCAGAAATTTGTTGTCTTCACAATTTCAGAAATTTATTTCTACATTCCTTTCTCTCTTTTTTCTCCATCACATTCTTACAATTTCTTTCTAATTATTTCTAAGGGAATATAATTCGGTTTTGCTAATCGAATATTCCATACTTTGTTGTATCCTGAAAGTGATTTGCCAAGAACCCTTTAGCAAACTCATTCGAGTGGGGGCCAATAACACTTTAAGGAAACGTTCAAGTCGTACCTCAAAGTCATCATTCGGATTATTCTCTATATTTCTACATTTACTTTAACAATCTTAAAGTGTTATTTTCGTCATGGAGAACAAATCTGATAACATGACTTTGAAGATTATCAATCAAGATGTCTACAAGTTAGACAAATTTGATGGATCAAATTTCACTCGATGGAAGGACAAGATGCGTTTCATGCTTACTGTTCTAAATGTTATATATGTTTTGGACCCGAAATTGGAGCCTATTTGTGAACCAAGTGACAAAGACTTGGACAATATAGTTGCCGATCGAAAGAAGCGTGAATAAAATGAATTGGTATGTCGAGGACACATCTTGGGCACATTATCTGATCGCTTATATGACTTGTATGCACACATTCAATCTCCAAAGGAAATTTGGGAAGCACTTGAACACAAGTATACAACGAAGAAAAGAGGTTCCGATAAAATTTTAATGTTCAAATATTATGAATTCACTATGTTTGATAACAAACTCATCCTAGACCAAGTTCATGAATTATTGGTCTTGGTTTCAAAGCTTCGTGAACTTAAAATAGTTATTCCGAATCCTTTGATAGTTGGGGCTATTATGGCAAAATTACCCCAAACATGGAATAACTATAGAAAGAAACTTCTACACATGGTGGAACATATTAGTTTTGAGGATTTGCAAAAGGGTATTCAAATTGAAGAGGAAACTCGAAATCGTGATAAGAATTTTGCAAATCAAGATTTCTCTAAAGTTTACATTGTCGAAGGAAACAAATATAAAAAGAACTTCAAAGTCAAAATTGACAAGGGGAAGTTTAAGAAGACCAATTCCAACAACAATCAAAAGAATGCTAATGGTGTCTGCTACCATTGTGGAAAGAAAGCCCATTACATTTGTGATTGTAGACACAAAAAAGCAAGTGAGGAATATGCCAATAAGACCAATAGGGCAAATATGGTTGAAAACTCTGGAATCGATAACATTGTTGCAATGGTATCAATGATGCATATTGGCATGATTACCGAACTAAATATGGCAGCGGCAATAAAATTCTCCGATTGGTGGCTCGACTCAGAGGCTACTATACAGCGCAATTCAAGACATACGAAGCATCAACGGACAATCAAGAGGTTTTAATGGGGAATCATAATT